ACATTTTACAAAGACAATAAGTATTTTCATCTGCAAGCAGAAGGTTGGCTTGGCATTACCAAGATATCATGTAAAATACTTCAGTCATGAATGTTTTACTGCACAGAAGCGAGAGCCTGTGTGCCTTCACCAAGAACCTGTGAGAATCTGTGTTCACTGAGAAGCATGTGTGCCTTTAAACTACACTTCAGACAAAGCACCTTTAGAATTTAGATTTATAACTAAAGGCTATCTCTCAGTGAAGGCAAAAAATATTCACACGTGGTACTTCTAATAAACATACAATGCCCCTGAAGACTAGGATTCTTCTTCGACAGAATTTGTTTACTTTTTGAAAGTACTTCCCAGTAAATTGGAAGATTTTGGCTCTGACTCTCTGCCTATGTTTTTGGCTACCTCACTGCTAAGAGAATTAGCAAATCTCCTAAGACCTAATTCACAAGGCCACTTACAAGATTACTCACAAGGTCAGGTCATTACAAGGTTGGTGGCCACACTGCTTCCAGCAATGCAGCTTTTCTCAACCTGCTGCTCATCCACCAAACATCCTGACAGATTTTCCCTATACCAAAGAGACTGCTATGTTGATATTGCCCAGAATTTACTGAATCTTCAAAAGTTCATTTGAACAATACACAATAAAGCTCTATAAATTTGATTAACGATGCTTTACTTAAGAATATTTATTATTCAGTGTACTGTTGCTTTGAAAATTATTCCTCAGATTCTCAGTCTGTTAGGCTTGATTTCTGATGTGTACATTCTAATACACAGAAAAGGCTTTACAAATATTCTCCTTTTAAAATATTGCTGTCATCAAAGATCCCATATCCTGAAGTACAGGTCTACAGAATTTGTGATTAGAGTTATCAAAATTATATTCCCTCCACCACATTACCTATGTTTTTAAAATCTCATGACAAATTTATTTTTAATCAGGATTTTACATCAAAGTTAAATTAATTCGTTGCTGACTAATGCTCAGGTACCTCCAATGTCAGAATGTGTTAAACCCACATTAATTTCTTTGGAGTTAATGTGTTTTTTCATGTGTTTAATTCATTAGAGATTAAAAAGTCCAAACAAACACTGTGATTTAAGAGCAGAACAATTTATAACCACGTGAGAGTTATGAAAGAGGAGATTTAATCCCAGGACCAACTTTTCTTTCAAGCCCTCTTGGCTTTACATCCCACACAGTTTTCTTCCACATCCGATTTCACTTACCTTTCTGTGTCTTGTACTTACACAGGTTACCTGAAAATGTATGTAAAAATTTCTATTATGAAAGGAGTTCTTCTATTTGGATAGCATTATTTCCAAATGTAATTCCTCAAGAGGGATAAAAGAGCAACCAAAGTGTAAGTAGAAACACAGCTTCCATTTTGAATGTTTTCAATGTGTTTACATAGTAAAAAACATCTGTGAGAATAGCTGTGATAATGACTTAAGAAATCTTTCTGGAAATACTATTTGAATAGGGAATACAGTGACAACTCCATATTCATTATACAAAATCCCACCGAATCAAAGTATTATCTTGCACAACACATCTACTGAAATATTAGGACAACATTTTTTGTAGTTTATTTATTTACTAATTTGAGTGATATGGCAGGCTGACAATACTGCTGAAGTCACATCCTCCCAGATTGCTCTCCTCAATTTACTGTTGTTTATACTTTTTGGGTCTGAAGCTGCAACTCTGTCCTTGTTCTTGGGCTGGAAAAGGATTGTTTTGTCTAAAGAGAACTTGCTAACACTCTATATGAAGTTCAGAGTTATATACTATATGCAGTACAGAATCCGGAAAATATGAAAGCCAAAACTCAAGGCATCATATTGCTATTGGCTTTCATTCCCTTATTGTGAGAAAAAGGCTATGAATCTGTAGTTGATTGGAACCTGCCACCTTCAGCCTAGTGTTACATTTCTTTCACTTACTGTGGAATGAAGACATGGGCACAATCAATTAGGATTGGGTGAGTACACTGCAAAAATATCTTTGGTCACACTAGATTTCCTACTCCAGTCCTACAATAGCTTATCCATGTGGCCAATATGAATCTTTCTGAAAATTTCAACCCCCCACAGGATCTGATCACATGTGCTTTCTGCCTTAAAAGGAAAGGATACAGAGCTATGAAAAATAGCATGCAGGCATAGACTCTCCTAAGAAACTCATTAAAATGCGTGAATAAAAATGTAGTAAAACAACCAGAAAACTTTTAAAAACATATACATTTTATAGGATATAATCTTTAGTAGACAATATTATATACCACTATGTAATAGTATGTGTAGGTGAATACAAATCTTGCATATACATATATAGGTATCTTTTCTCCTCTTCCTGACTCCCATGGTTTTTTTCAACACATTATTTTCAAATTACACTCCAATTATATTTTGGAAGTAAAATTGACTCAATAGAGGAATGAGAGTTGCTTTTGCCTGAGACTTATTTGCCCTATTGTCATTATCCTTGTATTACCTTTAACATTTCCCATTGAGACTAACCATCTCTCTCTCTACTTCATATGTTTTCCTATAATTATAGAAGAATGCAAGATCTTCTTCACAAATGGAATAATTTTTTTCCTGGATTAATTGAGACTGTCTTCTACATTATGAGATAATTTATAAGCATTGATTTAAACAGACATTTTTCCCAAAAAGAAAATTAAAGCAAAATGGTTTTTCTCCACCAGATTCATAGTACAGAACAAAGAAACAAAAAAGCCCTACTCTGGAATAGAAGTGACAGGAGGAGAGGAAACATTTTTTCCATAACTAGTGTCATTTATCCCAGATTGGGGAAAAATCTAATCAAGATTCTTTTCATGTATGAGACATATCTGGGGTCTGAGTTCAAAGCAGAATAATTAAGCACTTAGTTGTTGTAAGTCAGAACTCAGAGATATTTAAAAGGCAAGATCCTTATAGTTTTCCATTAGATAGTTCAATTTTTTTTTCGTTTGCAAAATAGATCATTCTAGCTAGAAAAAAAAAAAAAAATCTGCACAAACAAGATCTTCTCTGTGAATACAGGAGAGAATTAAATAAAGCCCCAAAACTGTAACTTTCAATAAGGATGAGATAAAGCAGTATGAAAGATGATGATGCAAGAACTCAGATGTAATGTGAATAGGTCCAATGTCCAGGGAATTCCTGACTCCTAACAGCTTGTGTCCTAATCAAGAACTAAACTAAATCCCTATTGCTCTCAGCGGAGTATTCTCAGGCAGAGAGGATGAGAATTCTTGCCTTAGGATGTAGCTCCTCTGCAAACTTAGGCCAGTCTCAGTCTTCTGCATACAAAGCAAACCTGTATTAACAGTTGCTAGAAGCAAAAAGACCAACCACAACACCCCACAAAACAACAAAAAACCCCAAAACCCAACAAAAGAAAGAAAGAAACATTTAAAAAAATTAAATATAAAAAAATTAAATGCATTTTTCTTGACTTATGTTTTGGGCAAAGCTGAATTTTCTCAATGCATTAAGTGCAGTAAGTGTCCATAGGAACATGAGCTCACGTGTTTCTACCTCCTAAAGGCTGAGAACTGAGCACCTGGGTGCCTTTAATGACTTGGGAACACACAAGTATGTAGTGACAGAAACGTCACCCCAAAAGATCTCAGCAAGTAGGAGCTGAAGGTGCCCTTGAGGTGTGTGCATGAGGAAAACTCTGCAGGGCAGCAGAGCAGGGTTACTGAGGACTGTCACTTCAGCCTTGTATCCCTCATGCCAGACATTTAACGCACCTCACAGGTCTGGCACATGAATGCACAGAATTGTTCAGAAACAGGTAAAGCCATACATCTAGGAAATAAAAGTTTTGAAGGCAGCCAAGAGTTGCTGGAAAGATTGCAGGTAAGAGAATATGATCCTTAAGGGAGGAAAAAAATGGGAAAAGCTACAATATCAGAGTGAACACAAAAAAAGCCTCTTTGGATCGTTAAATTAACCATGTAGCTAACTGGTTTTGTGTAATAAAAATCTGAAATAAAGCTATATTTGCTTTTTAGAATTTGTTTAATAGGGATGGATGGCAAAGTGCCTGCATCCTTTTTATAGAATACAGACACACAAGGATTTGACTCTAGCACAGCAGGTAGAGACACAGAGGGATCTGTGCCTGGAGGGAATTAAACTCTGGAAAAGAGGGTTTTATACACCTAGAAGGCACAGAGGGATGAATACTGGGACACTTTTCTAGGTTTTGGATTAAACCTCTGCTGCTCAGGAAGATTATTTTAAATAAGGCACAACATTTTATATTTAAGGATACATTCTCTATGTTCTTTGGGATTGTCATTCCTGACTTCTGAACTTAGATTTTTTCACAGCTCTTTTTCTTCTTCTGTGTTATTTTTTTTTTTAAAGGAAATTTAACAAATTATTTCAGCAACCATTTTCCCCTTACTTCTTAAATAACAGAATATAGTAAGTTCTAATATTGCATTGTAATTATTTTTTACCTTAACTAGTTAAAATGTTTCTGGGAAACAATTCTTTGTCTATAATTTACTTTTCATATAAAGTCATGATTGTATGTTATAGTAGATTCCAAGAATATCATCCAGTACTAATAATATATTTTCAAATTTTTAAATTTACAACCAGTTTTTCATCATAATCATAATTATATTATTATTGTTATTATTATTATTATTTAGGATAAATAATTTTTATAATATAAATGTTTGTAGCAAACTGGCCTACCAGGTAGGCCTACCAGGGCATGGAAGCAAAAAATGGAAGGCAGAGAACTGCATGTTCTTCTCTAACTTCAAAATACTGATTCACTCTAATATTTTGTAAGGCTTTCACTACCATCTCCAATACATATAAAAAGGCAATTATTTGCATCTTCAGAAAAAATTAATTCTACTGCAAATGTTCAGTTAACCTCATATACTACCCCATGAATTGAACCAGTAATTTCGCACATACACTGTGGGACTTGTACATCAATTTGTCTTAACATCATTGAGTTGGCTATTTAAAAGGTCATTTATTTAACCTGTAGACAGAGCATCTCAGTACAGAGGAATAAGATGGCAAAATAATTCCAGAAGACAATAAACATGCAAGTTTAGACAACTTTTCGCTGCTACATTAAGATTTCAGTAAAATTATAACCACTGAAAACAAGACATTTTAACATGCTCTATTTTTGTATTGTTGCATGCAGAACGATTTCACATGTCAAATACATCAGTTTGCAATAGATATTGTTGCTTTCACAACAGTACCTCCAATTTAAACATATGCTTTAAAATAAACAGAGGATAGGATGCAAATTCCTACCATTTCTTAGCTTAGAGTGCTTTAAGGAAGCCCAAAATTAGAATAAACTTCCTGGATCACAAAATTTACTTCTTTATTATTACAGGTAGCATTTGATGAATTCACTTTCAAAACTGTTCATTACCTTAGCTTAAAATAACATTCTTTCCTCCCCCCACCATTCTTCTTCAAAGATAGTCCCAAAATATATTGTTCCAGTAGACCAGGCCTTTTGCCTCATTTCCAGCTTGAGCGTATTTATAATTGTTTTCTCCCTTTTTGTTCTTGTACAAACATTGGCTTTCCGCCTAAATGGCAATTTTCTTTCAGTTTTAACCCTCCTACTGAATATCTTAACAAAGACCTGCCCTTTTGTCTTGTTTAGACTCAGATAACAAGCTCTGGCTCTTTGCAGAAGACATTCCTCCTGCTTTGCTTATCCATCCAGCAGAGATTTTATGTAATTATTTTAGTTTTAATTTATTGATCTTGGACGTAGGCAATGAGAACTAACAAAGTATTCCAGATAAGTATCACCAGTGTCTTTATTTCTAATGGAGTTGCCTTTTTAACACAGTCATATAATTTTGGGGCTAAATTAATTCACTAATTTTTAATCTTGCTGTTATGTAGGACAGCCAAGTACATTTCCACCTTATTTCTTTGCTAAATTCTAGCTTTCAACAAAAGTGGGATACCAGTAGCAGGGTTGTGATGACCCAACCCTTTAGAGGAAGGGTGCATCATTTTATATTATCTATTATTGAATTTAATCTGATTTCTAATAATCCAGTTGAAATAAGCGATTTTTCTACAATACCATATCCTATATTGACAATGCTTACATGTTTGTACCATCAACAAACACAATCAGTATTTTTACTGTATTTCCACCACGGTCATGACTGACATTATTAAAGAAGTTCAGTGACAAGATATTTTTGGAATGTCTCTAGCAACTACTGTGCTACCAGATATTGCAGAGCTGTCTTTCCCTGTTGGAAAGCTGTTATCCATCTCCTAATAATTCCATTAATTCTTGCAATTTATAGTTTAACTATTAGTCCCTCCTGAGCTCATTTTCAGGAAGATTGTATCAGGTGTTTTATTCATCTGTTAAATCAACCAAAAAAATAGCATTTCAATTTACATAGATTGACAACTTTACAGTATTTTACTTCCACTTTTTCTGTGGTCTGCTGAATTGTTTCTGCATATCTGTACATAAAACCTGCCTTTTGTAGATCTGGACATGGATTACAGCCATTTAATTCAATTTAATTTTAAAGAAATCCTTTTTTTGGTATTTTTTTCATGAAAGCCCAGTTTTGATATGCTGGGATTTTTTTACAGTCATAATCTTGAAAACATTCTACTCCTTATCAGAAATCATTTAAAATAATGCTACTTTCTGCAGAATCATAACCTAACTAAAAAATGGCTGGTCAGTATGCCTACAAATATCCAGGTCTTATCAAATCCTCTGTATTTTTCCCCACTCTGTACCTGCAAAGTCAAAGTTTCCAAACATTTCTCTGGCCAAAAACATTACAGGCAAGACCTTCATTTATATTGATGTAGCCAAGGTTGGGTTACAATAGATAATTGTTCATTCTATGTTACTCCAAGTAAAAGATTTCTACTTTTTTTCTCTAATGATTTTGAAGTTAAGAATAATGTTTTTTATGGCACAGGTCAGACCTAAGGCCATTTAGCTTTATGGAATCCCTGACTCTTTCTACTTCCAAATGGTTAGGTGACATCTAACATCTTGCAACAAACAACAAAATTTAATTGTGTCCTGTAAAGATATTATTTTTTACCAGCAAAAGTGTCATCCTTTTAAGTCATTCAGCCTGCTATTAAGAGAAATAGTGAGTCACTTCCTGTTCACCTGTACTGTAAGTTGCATGATTCTTCTCTGGAAAATCCTTACATAAGTAATGCATGACATTGCAATGCCTCTGCATTAATTTAGTTGCTGTTAGCCCCAGTGGTATTTGTCAGGCAAAATGTCTTACTCTGGCTCTGCTGAAGTGGTTGGCCAGCACAGTGCTGTCCTTACCAGGGCATGACTGCTGAGGAGCCTGAAGAAGGCAATATGCCAGGGGGGTGATGAGCCTCTGAACAGCAGGATCATCTGCAAATGGGAATGCTGAGAACAATTATTTTCTTGCATTTATTTAGAACTACCCTTGCTGCAGCTAGTGTTCATTACCTTTCAAATTATCTGCTTCTGTGCAAATACCTTCAAGAGTTGAAGATGGCAGTAAGAAACCCCTGTAAATTCTGTCTCTTGAGGCAAAAATGAATCAGCTGCTTCAGCCTCTCTTTACACATCACATGCCACAGCCCCTGCCCCCTTGGATAATTCCTTCCCCCTGCAGAATTCCTTCTCAGACAGCCACACCAAATGAAACCAGTCTGTAACCCACTTTCAGTATCTGAAAGCAAATGCTTAGAAAAAGTGTACAGCAAGTTGGAAGTTATTTTAATCCAGGGTTTACTCAAGCATCCAGTAATCTGTGGAGTATACATGTCTTGACTCACTGGTGGTACCTTTGTGCACAAAAATCTTATTAATTTTTTTATTACTCCACTTAAGCCTTTCCAGTCATGTTGTACCTGCAATATTCCAAATATGGTCTTCACAGCAGTCTCACTATTTGGTCCTATTGTATGTAGATGAGCTTCAGGATCTATGCATAATCATCTTGAATTAAAACTAAAAAAAATTGATATGGAAATCGACTGTAACATTTAAAAGTAAATTAGTATTTTCTCTTTAGTTATGCAGTTGAATAAAAGCAATAAATTCTTCAGAAGAAAATCACAGGCTTGGAGGAAAATTAATAAAAAATACCATGAAGACTTATTTTTCAGTAGACTTAAGAAGCTTTGTAAGACCCTAGATTTTTCTAGTCCCAAATATATAATGAAAATGCCATTTTTATTTATTTCCTGGTTTAGATCATCACATTCTTCCATGATGATAAGTTTCTCAGGTCAGAGGCCACATCTTACAGTGGTGTTATTTAGAGCACTGCAATTTATCCTGTCACTTACAGAACATGGGTTGGATTGCTGCTTAAGATTTATAGTTACTTGCCTAAGGTATACAAAAGTTGCTGGCAGGACTATGAAGAAAACATTCAAAATAGGTGAATTCAGGACAGAAACACAGAACAATTGTATCTAATTTTGTCCTCATCTGTAGAGTGATACAATCACGATCTTCTGCAAATCGTGTTCTAGTTTAGCCTGTTGAATGAACCCTCTGTTTCACATTTTAACGAGATACTTACCAAGAATTACAAAAATAGCAGGATTTACCTCTGAAGTGGAAATGAACAGCAGATAACAACAGTTTGAACAGCTGCTGCCCTTGGAAGTAGAAACTCCCACCTTCTCAAAACCCTGCCAGATCACGAACAAAAGAAATTGAATCACAATACACAACAGCAAAAATCAGCCACACGGTGTTATGCTCTATATATTATACAACTATACTGATTTATTTATGTCACTGCTTTCAGCTGATCATTTGTGTGATTTATGTAGCTGCCCCACAACTGATAATAACCCAAAGCAGTTACTTGGTCATCAGTCCCTGTAGGTATTTTTCTACCTTGCTGTTCCAAGAAAAATAATGAAAGTTTTGAATAATAAAGCAAAATTAGCACTTTTCATAGTGAATGTTGAAATAATTGTGTTCCACCTTTTTAGCAAAGACTTACACATGCAATTGATATACATATATAAATACATATATTCATATGTATTTAAGCAAAAGCAAAGAGCAGAACACTGGAGATTCTTATTAGTTATATATAAACACTTTAGTCCTTCAGTTACCTCCTCTTTTCAGCCCCCTGTCCTGGAACACCGGCAGTGTGAGAAAGTATCACTGCCACAGAAACAATAAAAAGACAAGAGAACAAAGGAAAGAGAACATAAAGACATCAAAAACAATACAGAGACTGTGCTGCTGAAATTCAATCTCAGTTCCAATCCCTTTATGTTGGTTCATCTAGAGCTGAAGAAAGAGCAGCATAAATACTAAAAACAGCCCGATGACACAGCTTTTAGACTCTGATGCTGAGATTGCCAGTAAGTGATGAGTTAAAAGTTTGCTTTATTTCCTCATAAGCCAGAAGGCTCTTGAGACACCCAGACACAAAACAGCCTAAGATAACTGTGACTGTGGCACATTCTTCTCTCTCTCAAGATTTTTTCATAGAGAAGAACAGAGAGAAGAAAGCGAAAACAATTTATATTTCTGCTCCTTGTTTTTCCCATGTAGAATGTGTTAGAAAATGGTTTACCTGAGGTGATTGCTTGATTAGATTCTAGTGAGGATTGTTTAAGCCTGATGGCCAATCCAATCCACCTGTGTCTGGACTCGCGTGAGAGGGTCACAAGTTGTTAGTTTAGATATAGTAGTTAGGATGTAGTTTTAGTGTCTCCTTTAAATAGTATATTACTGTATTATAGTATAGTTATAATAAAGAAATCATTCAACCTTCTGAGCTAGAGTCAGACATCATCATGTCTTCTCACCAGGTTCACCTGCATTTACAATAGGTAACAGTGTTTGTTTTTTTGTTATTAATTTTTAAACTCCCCCATTTGCCCTCTTGCATTTCAGTTGCTGTTTTATGCGTTTTTCTCTTTTTCTAGTCACAGTACGTCTTGTGTTTGTAAGCTGAAGGGTCATCAGTCAATTTTATACTCAGAATTTTTTAAAAAGCTGTTACTTAGGGGAAGAGGTCTTACAGTCAGTAAAATAATCAAAATATACAGGAAGTCAGTGGAAAGAAGGATCCTTTTTAGTACAAGATAAACCACTGCAGATAATTGGAAAACCTTTGAAAAGTCTTTATGCATCTTTGTAATTTCAGTGGTGCTTTTTATCTTCATTCAATAAATATTTTTTGGTTAAATACATAATTTTTCATGCATACTGATCAGAAGGAAAAAACACCCTAAACTCAATTATGCTTATTTTTCCTTTTCCTGAACATGCAAATTAGCTCCTTTGCAATATCTGTTAAACCCTCTGAAGGATTATCCTTGTAATGGTAAATTTAAACCTACTAAATATTTGTACTAAAACTTTGACTATATTCACCCAAGTAAGCGAAGAAATATAGTGTGACTTATACAAATAGTAGCCAGTGTTACACATCATACTGTAACTTCATGAAAACCCTCTCATATAAATACGTCTAAAGAAGAAGTACAGAATTCAGCTTCTTTTATGTTTTCACCCCATATTTGAATTTCATGAGATTTAAGCTGTCACATTCCTTTCCATTCTTTTTATTTGTTTGCACATATTTATACTGGAAAGTTGATAAAATATATGCATAGAGTTGAAGAAAACCCAATATTCCAGACCTGTTTAAAATTTGTTAAAGGGGTAGAAAGGGGGCTCAGAAGCTCCCTTTAAGCTCTTTAATCAACAGAAAAATTACTGTATCCTGCAAACTGAGATAATCATCCATAATATCTGATACTCCTGTACATGAAATGAGCAGTGCACCCAAACAAACAAGCAAACTTTGCTTATTCAGCTGGAGGCTGAGGAGTGGTAACAACTAATCCCCCAGTCTGTCAGCTCCCATTGCCCTATCTCCTGCCAGCTCTCGGTACTGGGGAGTCAGTGCTACAGATCATGCTCCAATGATGCTCACATACAACTAAAGTGTAGGGCTGGGTTAACAACTGCAAATGAAATCAAGGTGAGTGCATGTTCTAGATGGTATTTTAAAAATCAAGATTTATGACTTCTACTTTTGGTAAGACATCCTGTAATTGTTGTATTTTCCTCTTCCACCTACTCTCATTGTGAGCAGATGAATACTCATGCAATTAAAAATACCTTGTCATGCCTATTTAAAAAGACAATACCCTGATAATTACATGCAAGGAACAAATATATGTGCTAAATAGGGGTAGGATATCTGAACTACATGCTTTATTCCAATGCATAGAGTACTACATGGAGTCCTTCAAGGCTTCAAATTCACTACAGTTACAGAATTCAGAGCCTCATATAAATCTTCTAAGTTGTATCACACTCCAAAACTGCATCAAATATACCAAATTGCCTGCTATAGTGATCTATGAGTAACTAGAATTTCAGAAAGTATACATACATTTTTTCCTCAATGCCAAGTGTAGTCTTGCATGCAACACCTCAAGCCAAGCTTTTAATTTGTTTCTGTCCATAACCATAGAAGACTGAACTCACCCATGCAAGAAGGTAACCCCTAAATTTGCTTTAATGTTATTGCCTCTGTGTAAGTATTTAGCAAAAGACATTTACAGTTCTGTAAGCACTGGTGAAGAAACAAGCTGAACAAGGATTTTTTACTCCTTTTTTTTTTGGTAGTGTCTTTCTTATACTGTTAAAGATGTAGCAGCTAACAAAAGTTTGCATTATGCTGGAGTAATAACATGGTATTATTTTTATCCTAAACAGAATTCCTTAGTGACAGTAGATGGTATCCATAAATTCCAATTCTCTTTCCAGCAATCTTTTAAATTTTGACCATGGCAGAGAAGGTTAAATGGTTTTCTGGGATTCTGGGATGATTTCTTAGACCAGGAGAATTATACAGTTTATTATGTTGTTCCCAAACCAGGATAATAATGCATGAGGTTCAATTAGTTTGTTTGTGTTTTTTTTTTTTTTTCTTTTCCTGGTTTGATTTTGTCATTATTGCTTTTTGTTAGTCAATATCTATATGTGATTTCCTCTGGCTGTTTGCAAGGGACATAACCCACATGCTGAACCACTAGTTGGTAGATAGGCACTAGATTGTAGAAAGCAGTTTTAAAGTTTTTCTAAGAATATTAACTGCACTGCCACTCAGAGCTATAAAAATACCATATCTAAGATTATTTAAAACAAAATGTAGCATTGCAATATTTGTAACATACTAAGCTATGTTATTTTGATTTCAAGAAGGAATGTCTTATGTTTTTAGAAGATCTGTTGGAGGTTGGGGGACAGGTTCTTCTTCCTGTAGATGAAACACTGCACAGAGTGTTGTATTTTTGTATGGAAAGGAATTGAGGCAAAGGATGGGTGGAAGGTGTCTTACAGCCTTTCCGTTCTCAAGGTTTCTAAGCAAAGCAGGATTTCTAGGCTCAAAGTCCAAGCATAGTTTTAGTTATATAGCAGCAGGTGAAGCAGGACTTTCCTGGAACAGCAGGTTCTGCTGCAATTCCAGACATTGTGCCAGGCAGAAGTGAATTATAGAACTTGCATGGAAAAGCCTAGCCATGTACACTCACCCAAACAAGGATCTTTCCTGGAGCTTTTGTGCAATGCAAAGTTTGCAAGACTGGGACAGGCTGAAAACTTCCCTGAATTGTTTTGATCTTCAGTGAGTCTTTCCATAAGAAACTTCAGGAAGGCACAGATGCCTGCATTCTTAGCCCAAAGGTCCAGATCCCTGAAGAAGGCATGTGAGTAAGGCTGTCATAATTTGACATGGGAGGAATTCGGGGAAGTGAAGGAAAAAGTTTTTGTGTAAAAAAAGTACTTTTTTGTTGCTCCTCTGCAACTGTACAAGCTCTAGATATCCGAATGTCCCAACTATATGCATTCATATCAAATTAATCCACATGCTTATGAGTCTAGCTATGCATATACTCACCTGCAAAAGATCAAAAAAATAATCTGACAAATGCATGCGTCTGCACTCAAATCACATGCACAAATAAGTGTATCACTTAAAATGCTTACACTGCAGCTGTATGTGTAAGGGAAAAATCTTGCATATGGATGCAATTTTTCAGCAACCACAGTAATTGCACTGTATGAATAGATACAAATTATTTTAGTATGCCTGTCCCACTCTTAGAAATTCCTACTTCCTGTGTTTTCAGTGAAATTGCGATATGTTTTGCGTATGATGGCAGGAAGAGAAAAGATATGTTGAACTGGAAGGGGAAAAATATCTGTTGATTATTCTGTTCTACCTGCAAGCAGAAAAAGCCAAAATTACTCTCTTTTTGATAGTTTTCCTATGTGTAAATGCCATTTTGATAGCTTTTCACAATCTACGTCACTTCAACTTAATGAACCATTTTTCTTGGGAAAGCCTAAATTTAAAATGGCTGACCCATCCTAACAGGATAAATACAACTTGCTAGTCAAAATATTACCATTCCTTTGAGAGAGACAAAGGGGGAATAGAACTTGAGAACAGACTGGAAAACACCCATCAACATTCAGTTTACATTTGTCTGATGATTACCTGATGGCACTTCTTAGCATCAATAAATCTAACACTTCTTGCTAGTACCTAAAGAGCTACTTGGGTGGTCAAGATGAGACATAACAGAGGCTCAGATGCAGAGATTGAGACTGTGTCTTGACTCCCCTTTTCAATTTACACATCAAATAAAAATGGTGTGGCAATGGCAACAGATTGCAATGGCAATTGATATAGAAGAGAGGAGACTCCTGACCTTCTCTATCAGAAAACTTTTTCATACTATGTAGTTCCTGACATTTTCAAATGAATGTTCCTTCATCTTGCCCAGAACAATGGCTAATCCTTTTGTAAAACAAACATTTGGAGGAAGACTTAATATGCAAATTAAAGTTCTTACGAAGTCAACGTACTCACTATTTTAGGTGCAAGTATCTGAGTTATTCACAGACAAGTGATTTTCAAGGTGTGGTCAACAGATTCCTGTGAGCACTTCTTTAAGAGCAGCACTTAAATACTCTTTTGTATGATGAACAGCTGCACACCATATACTTGTTCCTGTCAGCTGCTTGTAAATAATGTTTTTTAAAACATACTCCCACCCACCACCCCAGTTATTACCATGCAAGCAATTGTTTTGCTAGCATTAAGAATGACATGTAAGAAATAAAAGGCCTGTGCAGGGAAGCCCTTTACCCATTTAAGATATCTCCCACAGAGATAATTATTACATCTTACAGCTGGATTACTGCCTGAGGCAGAAAGTTGAGCAGGTACAGAAAGGATTAAGTCTGAACAGCAGAATTGTTAAAGAATACTTCCACATCATGAAATAAGACAAAACATGAAGAATAAGAGTTAGATTTAATGATCAGTGAAAATTCTGAGTGAACTCAGCTCTTCCACTTCTTTTCTTTCTGAGAATTAAGGAGAACATCAGGTTTAGGTAATTGGTAGCATATTTTAACAAAAATATATGCCTTGCATAAGGATAAAAGCAATACTGAAATTGCAAAGATTTTTGTTTAGTGTAAGAAATTAAAATGATGCACTAGTGAAAAAGTATAAATGGGAGTATTTTTAGTAGACAAAATAAATATTTAATAAAAACCACACACCCAAGACAAAGTATCAAAACAACAGAACTTAGTATCTGAGAGGACACTACCTACATTGTCTTGTGTTAAACATGACTAAATTCAGTGGTTTAATTATTATCGCACTGCCTTGAGCAAACATTGCTTATATTAGTGTTGTAAAAAGTCATGAGACTAGAAATACTGTTGCAATGACAGAAATAGTAAAACCAGATTGCTATAAACAAGGAAAAATTTACTACACCAAGGAGTCAATCCACAGCCATTGATATAAAGTCAGCAAAATGGACTACTGCATAGCATACTGGTTACTGTACCAAAGTGCATTTATCAGCATTCAATGAACTGGGGAAGAAACCACCCTTTATAATATAATTTTTAAAAACAATCAGATGATTGACAGTTGAAGAAGCCCCACACATTTCCTTTAAAATAAAAAAGCAGTCTAAAGATTTTAAGAGCACCATAAGACTTCTTACCAGGTAAAAGAGTATAAAACATTAGCATTGTAAATAAAGAACATCTAAAAGTTAAGATATCATTCCATATTTAGAATGCAACTGAAAATTTTCGTGTGTTGTTGCATCCTCCTATACTACATCCAGTGGTGTTTTGGTGACTTTGTTAAGTTCTGGAAATAATGCAAAGAAAAACTGTCTATCTTGCACAGCAGAGGTCTAGAAAAATTTCAGCTGATGTTTAAACTGAAATGTAGATAATGAGAATACAAACAGATTTGTTAGGGTAAAGAAGGAGTGCCTGGCTTATCCCACTAATTCACCATTCAGTTATTCCACTAAATCTTTGAAAGTAGCATTACTTAATATCCCTGACTTTTATGAGTGCTATGACTTTTATGAGTGCTATTTTCTCATTATTAAGGATTCTGCATTGAAGATTTTTCTCAACCCTTTATCCTTCAATTCCCACCCATCCCTCCATCATATTTAAAAGTTGTGGTTTTCTCATATAGAGCATTGTAATGCTTTATTCTGCTTGATAAGTGATATACAGTCAACATTATTTCTATTTTCAAAGCACTGAGAACGCTTTCCAGTTGACTCACAAATTAAACAATAATTAAAAATAGGATTCTCCCCTTATTCTTTTGTGACATGGTAAAGACTATTCACCATTTAATATACGTTCAATTTCTTCTAGTCTTTTCAATGCAGCAACTCTCTTTTTCTCAATGTCTTTGATTTCTTTTGTAGATTTTTTGGGAGTCTCTTTGTCCACACTGCTTTTCTCTGTTGGTTTCTTATTTTTTGAGTGCTCTTTATTATCAACTGTTGATTGGGTGGTTCTCTTCTCACTTTTTGCTTCTTTCAAATCCTGAAATGAATTTTTTTTTGCTTCTGTAGCTGCAGTCCCATCTGATGGAAGTGATGACTGTTCCATAGCACCAAGTGATGCAATTTTACTTCTAACTATGTTTAGATGACGCTGAATATACTCTTCATGAGGTGCCAGTGCTAGTGTTTCAACCAGACATTTTTCTGCCTTTATTAAATCTTTTTCTTCAAAATAAACCACACAAAGATTATGTTTTCCTTGTACATTGTTGGGATCCAGTTCCAAAATTTTTTCAAAACACATTTTTGCTCCAACAATATCCTTCTTTTGGTTCATAAGGATATCTCCTTTCAAAATCAGACCTTTGGTATGATCAGGGTAGTATCTCAGTAGGTCTTCCAAGACAGGCAAAGCCATCAATTCTTTTCCTGTCTGAGAATAAAGCAGGGCCAAATTGAACAAAGCACTTCGGAAGTTTGGTTGTAACCTTATAGCTTTCTTCATCCATGCCTCTGCTTCCAGATCTTTTTTGTCATCCATTGCTAGCATACCCAAATTAAAGTATCCATTTGAATCCTGTGGTTCTTCTTTCACATAATGTAGCAGTCTTTGTTTAGCTTCAGGTCTAAGTCGAGCATCACCTAAGTGACAGAAAATGCATTTAATTCTCAAGATATTTCCTGAAACATTTATTCTGAAGTATTTTTAGACTGTAAAATGGTAATCTTTATACAAATTAAAATGCAACTGTAAAAGGGAAAGGGTTTAAAATGCTACTTTTCATTACAGCTGTGTAACAGCAAAACCAAATGTTATCTACCTTCTTTATACAATGAAACTATATACAGTTGACTTCTAGCCAAAGTCAGCATCATTATTCTATTAGCTGTTGAATGATACTTAAGTTTGGTATAACAGATACAAGAGGTGTCTCTACAAGCTTAAGAGAAATTATTTTCATGCACAGTTGAGCAAATGGAATGCAGAGCAGACACCAGTTCTGACAAACCAGCTCTTACAGAGGCAAACTTTGAGTGGAAGATCTCATTTTATCAAAATAGATTTACAGAGTTTAGACAGAGAGCACATAGAGTGACTTCTAACATAGCCAGGCTAAGATATCGTCTAACACCAAAACAATAAAACCTGTAACCCCTATATTTTAATTTGCATCAAAGTTTAAAGAAGATTTAGTAAAACAATTTTATCTGACAATACCAGGATTAGCTAGACACGCTTGTCGTCTGTGCTGTTTTACTGAATAATACAGTCAACATATTTTAGTAACAAATTCCAGACAGAATTATTGAAGGATAGGGGAGCTGCTTTCATCTGCCCTCTTTCACCCCCTGAAGCAAGACTTCTAGTATAAATAAGTGAGCACTAAACAGCTAATACTTCTGCTTGTTTGAAGCTGCTTGTACTTCTACAGACAAGGAACAAGGCATGTCTTGAACTACCTAATTTACAATGTGAGAAGAGATGGAAAATTATCAAGTGTCTTCAGCTTCATTCAACTCTGTTTTATCTTTCTTAGGGGCAGTTTACTATCTCAACAAAATGGAAACAAATCTTAACAGCTCACTTGCCAAATACTCTTTGCAACAGTCTTAATTGACTAAGGGCTCACCCTTATCCACGGACCTACACATATGAAAAAACAAGTGCATGAAAATCCAACTGAATTCATCCTAATTAGCAGTATAAAAACCTAAGAAAACATTCATATTTCTAGAGCTGGATTCAAGCCCAGAGACGTAAGCTAGATTTTTGAGTCAGTAATTAAATCCATTACTATAAATGTGAACCAGGTATCAAACATATTTTACTAAATACTATCTTTGAAGATTATACACGCAATGTTTTGAAGATGTTTGAGTAACACTATTCTTTATACGTGTAAGATATATTGTAAAATAGCACTTGTATAAAAGATGCTGATCAACTAAGGTGTATGTACACTTTGCACAAATTCCATATGCTACAAATTACAAAGCTATAATAAAGTGTTTCTTTTTTGATGATGCTATGTACTTCTTGCCTTTCCAAAAACAAGAGTTAATAAAAAAAATTAAATAGTATGGATCCTATAAATGCAAACATGCAATATGCATAGAAGGGACAATTAACATACCAGATTCTTGCATTAGCAGCGCTGAGTTGAATAACGCCAGTTTATGCGTTGGGTTAAGTTCCAGAGCTCGGTTGAAATTCTTCAGGGCTTCTGTTGGATCTTTCAGTTCAATGTAAACAATTGCCAAGTTGTACCACAGGTCTGCATTGGTTCTGTCTAGTTCTAGTGCTCTAAGGTAAGCTTCCTTAGCTTTCAGAGGTTTGTTCATTTTTAAAAGTAATTCTCCCCTGTTGAAGAACCATACTCATTACCCATATGAAAATTGACAGGTTTTTTAAAGTTTGTCTTCCTGCAGACAGTAGATGTCAGATAACAGTATTTTTTAATTTTGTTTTAAGCACAAAACAATACAACATCCTCTTTTACAGTCCATTCCTAAAGCTTTCAGTTCTCAAAAATCTGTATAGGGCAAATGCATAAGCAGGACAAGAACAAAAAAGGAAGTGATCAACACTGCCTGATTTGGCTCTGTAATAATACTGCAAAGCATAGTTCAGGCATCTTTGAACATCCCTAAGTCCCAGTGGGAATCACAACAAAGTAGCGTACAGAAGCCTCAATACCCACATCCACATTACTCTTAACTAAAATGCAATAACGTCAACTATATAGTTAGACTTACATTTTCTGGACCATCTTTAACAAAAAAGTATAAAGAAAGCTCCAAGATTCACACTAACCAAAGGCTTTTTAGTTCAAAACTTAACTATGAGGTTAGAAATTAGAGATTCATAAAGTAATCTGATGGAAGTGTCTTTCTATACAATGTTTGAATACAGAACCTACATGGAAATATGCCATTTGAAGCAGGAATTTAAAAGAACAGTACTTGTAATGAATAATTGACTATTGTCCCAAATATTCTTCTCACTTGGAAATGAAACAATTTCAGCAGCTAATTGAACTGTATGAACTAAATACTGTTCACAGTATTACAAAGAAGTTTGTTCAAAAATATGTATCTTTAAAATTAGAAAATATACCTGCTGATGTAAGCTTGCTTGAAATCCGGTCTCATACTTATTGCTTGTCGATATAACTGATCCGCTTCTTCGAGGCGAGATTCATTCGCTCGAATTAAGTTTGCAAGATTGATATAAACATTTAGATGGTTAGGAGCAACTCTTGCTGCATACTTTTTCCCTGGAATAATCTGTCAAAGACAATATATATACCAAACACAGATGAGCAAAAATAGGAAAGGTGATCAGTATAGAATTCTTTTAAACTCTTCCATATTTGTTTTAGGGTACTACTGGACATTATTGTGTAGGCTCTTGATAATGACAAAGAGCTATAATTCTTTTCCAGAAAAATCACACTGAAAAATAAACAGATTATTATCTATGGTTTTCATAGAAATAAAGAATAAAAAACATGTATGATATTTAAGCTTTGCTACTACTTAATTTGATTCATGTAGATAGCCATTTGAAACCAAACAGACCTTGCAAAAATTTCCCAAGTCAGAAAAAAATATTTCCTAAAGCTTAAACTGACATTCTGTCAGACATTTTAATTCTTTTTTATGACCCTTCAGCCTAAGAAAAGTGTAAATAAGGTTTTACAGCTAATGATTTCCCAACTTATATAGAAAATGAAAAGTAACAAGGAAATATGAAAATGCTATGACATTGAAACTGCTGTACTGTTTGTACTTTATCCACTTAGAATCTTCATACTGTTTCACAGAGTAAACTTTTAAGTGCCATGCTTCTACTCAACATCTCATTTTCAGCACAGTTTTTATTATCTTCACACATTCTTCAAAATATTACTCTGTTTTTCTCTAAAGAGCCTGAACAAGTAAAATTTCATAGGCATAAATATAACTTAACAATTAGAGAAGGTATCAAAACACATGTTTATAAAAGCATGTTCCAGCAAAATTTTTTTGTTGCTGCTGTGGCTACCTTCTCCAACCTCCAATGCTGTATTTAAGCCTTCTGTGAAGGGTTCAGAAACTCAGTCACCATCAATGTATTAGCTGTAAGTGAAAACACATCAATTGTGACTAGAAACTGTAGGTTTTGGCTGCTGCTTTCTTTTATGACCTTAGTTTCAGGAAACAAACAAACAAAAACCCTTTAAAACACAACACAGCAGTATAAAAAGTAAATTAAAAACAGTTGTAGCAGAATTCCAAGTTAGCACTTTTTAACAGCCATGAGTATATAGCCTATTTTTTTCATAGATAGCTTTTAAAAGAACACTGGTAAACTTAAAGTATACAACCCCACAAAGCAATAGGAAAAAAACAAAAATTGCATCACGAATACAGGTTCTGTGCTGCAGTGGTAGATAAAGCTCCTAATTACCTGTGGCATCAATGATTTAGCAATCATATATGATTCTTCAGCTTCTTTTGTTTTGTTTAGGTTCTTGTAAGTTCTTCCTACATTCATGTGGGCACCAATATCATCTTAATAAGAAAAGAATGAAACTTAATATATTTACATGCACTGAGCATCATGAAATTAAACACTTCTGTGTTCAGGTAGCGTGAATTACAGGTACTCTGATGAAACATGTCCATCACCCAAAGAAGAAAGCAATTCTATCATTTTTCCTCTTAATTATAAAGATAATAATTTAACCAGGAACTGGTTAAAGAGGGATTATAAAATTATGTGGGAAACTGTAAAAAGTTTAAGGCCCCATCACACTTCCCTGTATCTAATTTCTTGCTATAATAGAGGCATATAAATTGAAGGTTATTTATAATCTTCTTAAAGGAAAGATTACCCAGTATTATCTAGAACTTCTCTTGTAACAATATGCAAAATGGATTAAATGTGCATTTTGATATTATCTAGATTTTTAAAATTTTCTTACATACTACTTTAATTTTGAATAAAAAAAAAAGCAGTATTTATACTCCATAAGAAATCACAGTTTAAGTTCATACATAAAGAATGTCATGCCAAGAATAGTTTTGAAAGTATTTGCAGCTTTTTATAGATAGAAACCTTTTATGGAGGACTTTTTTAGTTTATTTCCAAAAACCCCAGATCAATTAACTTCCTGTATGACTTAGTTTGACGTTCAGTTGAAGCAAACAGTCCATTGAGCAGCTGCTAGTAAGCTAAATACACTGAAATATCAGGAGTGAAGAGATGGCAACTAATCAAAGCTTTACCTGGTTGCACTTGTGTGGCCTGTATGAAAAACTGCAGAGCTCTTTCAAAATTTTTTTCATTTTCTAATGCATGCCCCACATTGTTCCATAGTTTTGCATTGTTCTTATTTACCTAAAAAGAAAAAGATACCAAAGCATAAGGTTTGAAGTTGAAATTACTTAACAACTGAGTTTCTCTTACCAATATGAAGACATAAAAATGTACTGCAAATGACAGATTTCATCAAGCTTCTATATGCAAAGAATAACAGAACACTACATACGGAATGATCACATTGATCTTGTGCAACATCAATTTATTTTAGTTATTTGCACCTAGAAATACTAAACATCTTAAAAATCATTTTAAGTGTTATGGGATATATTGCAAGCTGCCTTATCATGCCATATGAACTTAGGAGAAATTATTCTATGCCTCAAATTTTTTGTAATTTTTGTACTGAAACGTATCTGGCTTTCATCCAGACAAGAGAATACATCCAACTTCTTTGACACAAGAAAAATTATCAACTATTATCTGCATATGGATTTCTATGTGTGCATCACACTGCTTTTAAAGCATTCCCAAAAGCAACTAATTAGATGCCAGTACTCTCAATATAGAAATTAATGTGCTGAAACAAGCATAATTTTTGTCCATTTTTATCATGTTCCACTGCAGCTTCTTAAGAACAGCAACAAGAACTTTCCATTATCCTTTCCAAACAGAATACAGTACCTTTAAAGCAGACATAAACAAAGTGTACTCCGACTCCCAATCCCAGTTTCTGTGCAGTGTTTTTAAGGCATGAGTGAATAGCACCGCAGCCAAACAAACCCAAGAAATTTTTCTTAGCACACTATTAAATAAAACAAACAAAGACTTGTAAGCACACCAACAATTCTAATTTTTATTAGAATAAATATCTCATATGCTAAAAGGCAAACAAAGGACCACATTTGTGATTAGCACACTCGAATTTGAAAGGAAATAATGTTCAATTTCAAATTAATTTTTTACCTGCCTTTGTTGTTATACCCATGCAATTCCCTCAATAAGAACAAGCCCAATTCACACAACACAATAGAATTTGTACAGAATGTTTACAGAAATTATACTTCTCTCAAAACTTATCTGTAATTTAGGATAATAAATATGATGCCAAAAAGTGAGGTTCTCCAAAACACTATAGAAAATGTTAAAAATGAAAAAAAAACCCTAAAATAATTTCATACTTTTGTTTCACATCAGACAATCCATACCTATTCTTTAGTGCACATACTGCCAGTGATTCCCACACTGCAGAATACACCTTAATGGAGAGGTCTGTGGAGACTACTCAATCTTCCAAAACCAAATGTAATCCTAGTGCTACTGTAATATCTAAGTAGGAGAAAGGTTTAGTGTCTTTCTAGCAATTTTATTTTTAAAGCTGCAAACTGGGGCAAAGGTCACTCTGTGACAAGTTTGTCAGGAATAATCTTCATTTTGTGCAGTTTATTTTTCTGGACTTTAAACATGACAGATAAAACATATATATTAACATGCTAATCATTTAGTTTCTGGATTATAATTCAATTATGAAAAAGATTTTAAACATTCAATAACCTTCCCACAATTATGAATACAATTTGTTTTAAAATAAAATCTCATTCTTGAGTGGACATACAGGTGTTCACCCTTAACTGCTACTTCTCACATTTGACCTATGGAACAGTTGTTCACTCTGCTACCTACTTCACAAGGGTTTACTAAAAACTGCAAGGTTCTTTCCCTGTCCACTTCTAAGATAAACCAAATGCATATTTTGTCTACTATGTTTGGTTTTAAAAATACTAAAAACGGGGAACTGTAAAATTAAGAGAGTAATTCTAAAACACTACCAAAGTGATCAATAAGAACTGGCATATACAGTAATCTGTAAACTCATCAGGCTTACAAGAAAGTTTTATTCTTTCCACGTATTTCTAATGCAAGGAACCTTTTCTTTCTCATTTTAGAGACCTGATTTCCAGTATTTTTGTAGTAAATGATACTAGCTGACTAATTTTATTCCCCAGCCATCCTCTCCTGGTTCCTTGCTTTCTTTCACATCACTTCTATTTTTACTACCTTGTAGTGGGATTTGTGAGAATTCCACACTCCCACAATATATTACTAATTTCTCATTATCTGGTGCTGTCAGCTTCAGCAGCACCAGTTAGTGTAAATTTTACTGCAAGGCCTCATCTCTAACAATAGTAGACAACATAGACTGCAAATTGCTGCCTTTCCATTTGTCTGAACTGGCATTACGATACCACTGGGCTAAGGGTAAAGCATCCACATCAGTGGGAGGTATGTCCAAATCAATGCAGAAGATATCAGAAAACACAAAAGTGTGTGCAAAACATGCTTTTAGAGCACAATTTTTAAGGAGAAATTGTTAACCAAAGAATTGTTTTGTTTAACAAATACTGAATGGCTCTGATATCCATTCCTAGCATGGTATTTCTGAAAATTTGATCTTTTACTGACTAAATTTTCAGCAACCTTAATTGGCTGACTTACATGCATTGTAGAAACTTCAGTCAGTAATCAACTCTGAATAAAGTTAAACCAGTTTTGATTTATACTCATCTATTATTTTCATAGAAGATAACCATATTTATGGCTATGCAAGCTTTCCCATTAGTGCTTTTATCAGTATGAATTTATTTACCTTTTATTTGATAATTTCTTCCATCCATGTGCTACTAAAATGCAGAATCCCATGCTAGGAACATATAACACTCGCTCTGCTACTACGAATCCAACAGGAAAAAACAGGTTTGACGCAGGAATGAATGGCAGCACTATTAAGCAGAGAGCCTAGAAAGGAAATACAAATAACATTAGTAATCAAGATATTGGCAGTGACAAACTGTACCCAAGAAACAAGTTAAAAATTACAAAAATAATCCCATAAAAACAGACATAAATTGAAGATATTAGGTCTTTTTTTTTTTTTTTTATATTCAGATCTGTTTCACATTGAGATCACTCTGAATATGGCAAGTAGTAACATGAAAATTATTCTATTCCTTACTTAAGGGCTTGGAAGTCTATTTGCTTTACTATACTACAAAAAAAGAAAAAATAAATAGGATCAACAAATTAATTACATTCAAAACAATTTGTTAGTAAGAGTTCCAGATACAGAAACAAGACTGCATAAGACCTTTGGACATTATCTGACAATTAAATATTTGTTTCAACCTATTTAATGCATAAAGCAGCTATTTTTACAGTACAATAGAGTCTGTTTTGTGTTTCTGTAAGAAATGTGAATAACAAAACCAGAATCAGTCACCAAATAAACATCAGTTTTTGGACAGAGTGCTAAGAGTACCCCAAAGTATCTGAAATTACAATGTACTTAAGAACTGCACAATTGTAGTTCTTAGGTTGGGGACTGACTTCTTATTAAATATTGTAGCTTATTAAGAGGCAAAGAAATGCATTTGTTGCAAAGACATGACCAGTTGCTTTAAGTCCCGGATGACTGTTAAGTAGCAGATTTCCACTCTCTGCTTCCAGAAGAGACATGAATAATTATTTCAAAATAGCTGGCCTCCAAGTTACAGAAAAAAAAACCCCACAGAAACAAACCTACAGAAATGGAATTTTTCTTTGAAGAAAGAGTAATTTTCTAGAAACTTTCAGTACAACTGACTATCTAGAGTTAAGCATGACATTAACTGCCTCTTCTATGCTAAAACAGTTAAATAATCCAGTGTGAAAATCAACCCAGGATTACATATATAAAAATACAACACTGATTTAAAACTTTAATTAAGATTTTATCTTGTATTTCGAGGATATTTCAAGACTATGCACATGGATCATTGACACAACTCAGCTGCTGATTCACAGCATTTCATTAAGCTCCATGAAAACAAAACCACAACTAAGCCTCACACCATACAGAATACATTGATTACTTGGGGATATTAATGACTCACTGGAATGCAGCAATAGGCTTTGACCTATCATATTGTTTCATTTTGTAGCACATAACAATTAATATTTAATATAAAATATTGCATTCTCATTTCCTATGAAATCAGCTTCCAGGCACTTCAATGCTGAAGAAAATCAGCATAATATTGAAAGCTATATACACAATATAGGTACAGATTAAAAGAAAACAACTTGCATTAAACCAGGACTATACTGTGTCAGGTGACATAGAGGCTTGCATACTGGAGTGAATGATCCCACAAAATCCCTCCTATAAAAAGCACTTGGAATAATAAAAACATATGTAAAAATACCACCCTCAAACAAAAACTGACTTACACCAACATATGCTAACAAAACATTAAAACATTAACCCTTTCCTCTTGTGAATGTCACCAGGTAGGGAATAAACAGAAATACAGGGAAATAAACAGCCTTAAAATTCAGGAGGTGTCCTATAAAAGAAGTGAACCACACTTCACACCCATTTTTCCTACTAACAGTGCAGTGGAGAAAAACTCATGCCTCAGCTTATATAAGGAGGAAAATGCAACTACTCTGCATATTTGAAGTGCTGTTAAACTTCTTTTCTGAGTATGTCACTTTGCACATTTATGGTATCAATAATTTTTTCTCTTCATACACACAGTTTCCAAATTCAAGACAAGAAATTTCATCAGCAATACTAGATATCATTTTCACTGGTCTTCTAGGGAAGTATATTGCACATATGAGTCAGAATTATAATATAATCTTTTAGAAGTGCATCAAAATTTGTCAGCTGCTTAGCAAAGAACTACTTAAATCTTAGGTTATGCATAAATATTTCCACCCATCTGAAACTTCTGTTTGCTGATTAACATACTAAAAAAATGCATTATTTCTGAAGCAGACCAAGATAAATGCATGCAGGTTTGCTGTACACATAACTGCACTACTGAACTAATAAAAACTACAGTATCAGGTTATCATTCACCTTGTAAAAATTTGAAATAGAATCAACAATTGATGACTGTTTTTTTATTTTTTTCAAAAATACCAGCTCCTTTGATCCTTCCCATTTCTTCCAAAATATTATTTTCTGTTAATCCATCTCAGTTTTAAGATCATATATAATAGTGAACAGACACAGGAACTGATCTTACAGCTTGACAAAATTAGTTTTTCATAATATGAAAACAACTTACAGAAGAAAAACAAAACAACAATAACAGAAGTAGAAACCTTATTCCTAAATGCAAAAATATGTCCTTTCTTTTACACCTATGAGAAAGAAAATAAAATCTCTTGCTAAATATACAACTACTGACATTTAAATAAAGTAGACAGCTTGCAGGATTAAAATGCATTCTGGTCCTTGAAACACATTTAAATTCTATTGAAAGCCCCTATTTGCCAGTTGAGCACTGAATATCTGAGAAAGGCTGCAATACAGTTTACAAATACATAATAAGGGGCATATTTATTCTCATCTCTAACAGAATCACATATTTAGTTGCAATTTAGCAGTTTTCTTGCCAGACAATTTTCCTCTTATGTGTTCATTCCAGCCTAAAAGGAGATGCACATAGTTTCTCTGGGTCACAGCATATTATATGTGTGACCATTCAACCTGTGCCACTTACTCTTAACAAAAGGACAAACACGGTGCATCGTTCATACCATCAATACTGTCTTGGAGGAATCTCCAGGGTATCGGAGACTGAAGACCATCAAAGATCCCAGAAAGAAAAAGAAGGTAAGGGTGGCAATATTTCTAACATCTAACAAAGACTCCACAAGAGGAATAGTTCCCATTGTCCAGTCACAGCATAATTCTGAAGGATTGAGAAGAAGCCAAGCATTTACAGGGAGGAGGTAGTTGAAAGTCAGCTGTCTTGCTGGGGATGGACTAACAGCAGCTGGGTTATCAAACCTAAAACAAAAGAAAGGAGAAAAAGGAGCTTTTAATGAAGAAAGATATGATCTTGAATCACTTTGTGGCAAACTTTAGTCATAGCTAGACATGTAAAATATCCTAATCTTCCTGCATTTATCAGGTGTGAAACCATGCACAGTGATTCACTGAAGAGAGGGACAGAACCTCCTCCATGTTTATGAAACTGTTTTGGGATATAATCAACATAAGTTTGAAGAAAAAGAATGATTAACACCTCATGTTGAGTTCAGTGGTGCTTGTTCATGTTTTTAATAGTTCATCTCATTTTTTCAGGGACAGTTTTAGATTCTTATATTTCTACATTGCTCAAACTTAAGATAAATTAGTTTTTCAGTTGTAATGTCATTCATATACATCTTCAAGTAGTCTATCTGAAGACAGCCATGTTTTCCGCATAGTACATGCCTAAAATGTAAAATATATTCTGTATGTAGAAGAGGAAAAATTTAAGAGGTTTGGAGAATCCAGACAAGATTCAAATAAAGAGACAATAAAAAATACTTAAGTAATAAGACATTTAATTTCTGAATTACTAAGATGAACTACCAACAGTAAACTTTTTTAAATGGCTGCCTGCTCAGATACCTCAACATTTTGGACATTTTATTCAACAGCTGCTCAAATATATCATTTAGCAATTTCACAAAAATACAATATTGCACAGACACTGAATAATAATATTATTAAAATAGGTGAATAACACTTAAGTTCACATATTTTTGGCCATTTCATTCCAACTTCATTAAGTCACATCTTATTTATAAACAACTGTAAATAAGAAACACTTTACTATTACCTTGTAAACACTGGAAGCTGAGACTGGATAACCTGGACTCTGACAACTACAAGCAGGAGTGTACTGAACATTAGGACTATGAGCTTCAACAGTGTTTGGAGCATAGAGAAAGGAATACTGCCCTTTCCTCGAAGAATCTGTACAGCTGTGTCCAATAATGCTGGCAAGGTGTACTGCAAATTAAAAAATGGTTTATAATCAGGCAGGGTACTCACTAGTTCCTTAGATAAATATGAGCTACCTAACATTTTTTCCTTGTTTTTCTGTAAAAGTCTGCTTCAGATAGTTAATTAATTCAGGTACTTAGTGCCTTCATGACAAGTCACCAAAATAAGGTCTCCATTCTAATAAATTAGTCAAGTATTCTTGCTAACACTATCACAGCTGAACCTGTACATCCGTAGCTATTTTGTGCTGACAGATTAAAAAATTGTACCATCTTCAGAGACTTGAACAAATGAATGAAAACCATGAAAGGAAGTCTCAAGAAGAAAAATTACTATTTTCAGAAATACCAGCCCCTCTGAAAACTTGCCTTATAAACAAAATTCCTTATGAATGATAGAAATACTATTCGCCTCCTGATTAGCCCTGGCTTTGTATTTTATGCCTCTACTGCAGTAAGTCATCACTCCTTGCCTCATGAGCATCATAATCTGCAGTTTCCCATTACATAAGCTATTTTCTTCTCAGTGTACCTCTTTCCTTTTGTCTTCATGACTTCTGCTAGTGATGATTTATTGCTTTACATATACCGGGTGGCTAAACTACAGAAACTGAAATGTTTTTAAGGACTGGTAAAACTAAGTTCATGTGTCACTTGTGCTTTCAGAAGAAGCCTCAGTTTGCATTTTATCTTTCCTACTCAACTGACTTACACATTCTTGTTAAACTTCAGTGAAATTGAAGATCAGATCAAAAGTTACTAAAAGAAAGGAAGAGTGGGCTGAAAACCAGTCACGTACTGGTGATTTCCTTAAAAATCCAGCTAAAAAACTGTATTTTAAATCACTAGACCTGCAAAGGCAACAGCTACAAAGACATCTATGTGATTTTGGTATTTAAGCCTTGATTATGTGTCCCCAGGATAGACAATCTTTTGGCTTTTATTGGTGCATTTTTTGCAAAATTTTCCTGCAAGCAATTAAAGAATAATAACTATAAAATTTTCTTAAAATATGGAATGCTACAAGTTTAATTGCTACATTTAAATTTTTAATTTATTTTGGTTATTAAAATGTCTAGAATTATTTAATTGAAGGAAAATCTTGTTTCTTTAAGGAAAAGTTGCTATTAATTTAAAGGCTTATCAATGCTTAAAATGAAATATATCAGATAACCGTATTCTTAGAACAACAAATTTCTTAAGAATATTACTTATTCAAATAGGACTGTTCTAAAACAATTGGTTACTCAATAGAAAATGATGAAATGAATTTGTATATATATCTTCTCTATTTTTACTACAGGGATTAAAACCAAATAATCCTCCACCTTTATGCACCTCAAGGGTTTAATCAAGGCTGTTACACGTTAGGATTTGCAAATCTCAGTCAGCTAAAACCATAGGCTTCCATTAAGACCTGTCAAGTCTTCACTGAGTATATTTGCTAACATCTCTGCACGGCACATAAAGGACAACTTGGAATTTATTTGATTCCCTCACTGTCAACTGTCAAACATGAACTGACTCAAAAAAATCTGAAAAATGTAACAGAACTATTGAGTTGACCTTAAATGAGAAAGATCAGTACCAAAATATGATGCTTCAAAGTACTTAATGTCTCATAACAGAAATCCACTTTATTTTTCAACAGCTTACCCCTTGAGCAATGAAGACTTCATACACACAGCATATCCCCACCACTGTTATTCCTTGTTCTTTACACAGTGTTGCAACAGCTACTAGAAATACAGTCACTGCAATTGGAGTCCACACTGCAAATAAAGAAGAAATTATTGAAAATGTTCCATCTTACAAAAAACACATTTAATAAAATAAATTACTTTAAAAAGTGAAGACTTTGGGTCCTCAGATTTGAATATGCCATGTTCTGTAAACTTGTTTAGTATATGTAATGTCTTATGAAAGATGACTACTTTTACTCTACAGAAAATAATACACATGCACCAATTTTTAAATTGCTCTTTTAAATTGAAAGAAATAAATTAAGGGTAAAAGACTAATTTATAATAAGTAAAACAAAGCATCTCAGTATTTCCTAAATCATCAGAGCACTTTTTCAAATGGAATACTTTATAGGGAGTCATGACTTCTTGCTATGTCAATCTGACTCTGGCAAAGATGGAAGCCTCCTTTATCTGCACTGAAACCTCGGAGTTTACTTGTGACTGACCATCTGAGGCACTTCAGCATGCTTCCACTGAAATTGCAATAATGAAAGTCAGTGCAAGCATCTCCTAGAGTAGGTGTTATAAAACTAATTAAAGAAATGCCCAAATCTTGGGAAAAAAATGCAATTATAATGGAAAGTAGCATTACATGGGTATCTTGGCTCTGAAGGAGTTTTGGTACCCACTTGCTGAATAATCACTTCACCTCTATTAGGGTTTTAAGAATGATTTTATCAGTGATAAAGAAATGAAATTATTTCTCTATTTGTCAATCATTTACCTATGGTATTATCTGGCCCTTTAGACTTTGTGTATGACAAAAAAGCAGCTAGGAAAAAAATAGATGATAAAAGCTCTGCTCTGCCCACAACTCCAGTTACCTGAAAAACAAAATAAAAAACTTAATTATTATTCAGTATTTATTATTATTTGATATTTTAAGATAGCATTTGCTGAGCTCTTTATTAGCAATCTAGGTATATGTTACTAGATATTAATTATTATATAAATATAGCAGATCTCTAAGGAAGTATTCCATAAAGCACAGGAGTCACCAATCCCAAGGAGCAAGAAACTGGGTACGGAAAGCAAGAGGTCAGTGCTGCTGAGCAGAGAACTGCTGGGTCAAACTAAACTGAAAGAAGCAAATGCCCAGGCAGCAGAAATAAGGACCGGCAAAACTGAAAAAAACTGGTAACAATGGACAAGGAGAAGGCTGAGGTACTTAACAACATTTCTGCCTCTGTGCTCACCAGCAACCTCTCTCCCCTTGATGAGACAGAGAGGAGTGGATTTTATGAAATTCTGAGAAGCATTAAAATGCATGTGGCAAAAGGTTGTTTCAGAATCCCAAAGAAATACAGATTCATTCCCATTTCAAGACCTGTTTTCAAAAAATGCTAAAGAGAAGTCAACAATCTGATACGGAAGACAGGTCATTATGCTCATGGTTATTGCAGTACCACTGTGTTGCCTACAGTACCTTCTTGGACTACCATTCTTTGTCACTTGTCCTCTTCTGTAGTGCCTCTGATTGCTTCCAAAATTTTACAAGTAACATGGCTGAAAAATATCAGGCTGTCCCGAGGCAGATGGTCGTATTTAGCGACGGAAACTGCATAGTTCATGATTTAACTATGATGATGCTGCAAACTGACTTTTTACCATCTGGACCCAGCTAGAAAGTTTTATTGCTAGTACATTCTTGGTCAAGCATGATTGATCCAGCACAGCATAAAATGAGAAAGTAACTCAGTATCCAAGGTCACAGTGTAAAGGAAAGTATTCTTATCTAAATCTGAAATCGTACTCTAGTATTTCTCTTAGGACTACTGTATGTTTACCAAAGGATTCACTGAATCACACACAGACAAAGCATGTTTCACACTTGGTAAGACACTACACTTTGTGCCAGTTTTGAAGAGCATCTAAGTATTTGTTTCCAAAATATCTTAAGATGTTTCAAAGATTGGTGGTCTGGATTCCAAAACTGTTTAGCATTAAGATATTAAAGAGAATTTTATCTGTAGATCAGTTGAAAGAGAACATTAATAAAGCATGTTAGTGTGCTTCCACAGTTGCCTGCCTCCAAAAGAGAGGTTCTATTTCTGGATACAAACGTGACTTATGAGAGAAAATTGCAGCACTCACAAGGTTAGTTGACATCCTGTAGTTATAAAGGTGGTTTACATACTTCTGGCCAGAACAGTAACAAAGTAACTAGGAAGACTGAACTGAAATTGTAAAGACAAGGACAAATGAAACGATGATGTTGTTATTTAACTCATTTTCTAAAAATTTCCTCTTCAGAAGAACATATATCATCACTGCAAGAGCCTAGCTTCTTTCTGAACTCCAGCAAAAAATGATCTTCTACTTATCCTGCTCTGATAACTTTTCCAGGAAAAATCTATTTATTGTAAGATAGGCAAAGGGTTGAAATATTTATGCATTGTATCTGCTGTTTCATACTCTTGTGCAAGTGACTAATAACTAGGAGATTAATTAAAGAAATTAATACCAGATACCTTTCAATTATAATTATAAAAGATATAAAAATCCCTAGTCTTAACATGCATCTCATTATTACCTCATCTTTTCTGTGTGAGGAAGCTTCCCCTTGTTCTTCTTTTTGCACACTGAAAAAGGTGAGGGTGAGAAGAAAACGAGTCCTTATCTGACTCTGCACTGAGTACCTGAGTACAACAGCAGGGGGATTCAAGGAGAATCGCAGTTTCGCATTTCCAGGCCAGCACCACGTTGAGCTCCTTGTGTTACAGCGCCCCCCCGTGGCGCACAGCAGGCCCTACACGCCCTCTGCCCTGCGGCTCCGGAGCTCCCAACGCGGCCTTACGCAATTCAATTAGCTTCTGTCACACAGTGCGCCCTAGGGTTTGCACGGTACTTTCTTGCTAACTCTGAACTAAAAAGCATCTGTGCTACTTGATATTTCCGGCAGAATCTGAAAGTTCAGGCATAATAAAGAATCACTGAAATTTGGAATGAAAGTGACAAAATTACAATGGTTTATCTAACCTGTGAGCCACTAACCTAAGTCACTGGCAACTTGCTAACACTGCTGCAAAGATCCTATCACATTTACAACAAAGAGGCAAAGCCAAATTTGCAATTTAAAGCATGTTTTTTCAAAGAACCAGAAACCAAATTAAGTAAACAATTTTGCCCAAGTTTTTACAGGGGTTTGTGCTTTGGAGTAAGCAGAAATTTTTAGATGCTTAACTTCCTCATTTCAAACATTCCCTTAACTTCTAGCAACTATGTATTTGTAGCTTAAATAAGAGCCAACTTTATCAACTCAATTCCTGTAAAATTTGCTCAAAATACATGGATGCAGGCTTCTTAATAATTGCTTAAATGGATCTGTACTGTTACTATATAAGAGATAGATGGAAACTCTTTACCCAAAAAATCAGGACCAAAAAAATTAAAACATAAAGTAAGAGCAAATCCCTTTCATTTTATTAAAATCAAAACAGCCTACTCGCCCCTTCTCCACCCAAAAAACCTCTCTCCACTCAATAAAGTGGCATCACCTCCAAAGCAGCAGAAGATTCAAATATTTTCAGTTCTCTGAAAATAAGCTAATACTATAAAGAGACAGGGCTTTGCAACACCTGTGTATTGAAATCCAGGAAAGCAAATTGAAGGGGAGCAGAAATAACAGCAGAAAATGCCTCAAATCTGCTTTATCAGATTTTCTGGCAGAAAGAAATTTTATGAATGGTGATCACAAGACTTCATTTCCTCCACAACATTGCAAGCCTGGTTTGCCATTAAAAAGTATATAATCAGAAAATTTGTACAAATAAAGCTTCTTGGTTTTTTTTTTTTTTTTTTTTTTTTAATAGCAGTACAGAATTCCTCCAGAATCAAAGAGAGAAGAGAAATGTATTTTTTCTTCCTTATACACTCTATGTTAAAGTGGAAGGTTCAAACAGAATAGGGCCTAAGCTGGCTATAGCATAGCAATGATAATCCTAGAGACAGTCCCACTGGGACAGACACATTGACATAAAAGAAAGTAGACAGAACAGACATGGTGATTAGCCACAAGGGATTCTGGAAATGCATTAGGAGGCATTCATAGTATTTGCAAAATAGGATACTGTACACAAACATCTAGGTAAAGTTATAAAAGCCAATGTATATAGCAGAGGCCTAAATTATTTAGTCCCTAAATTCATGTTTCTTTAATTATTTTCCAGTAGCTGCACGTAATGTAATAAAACTCTTGAGCATGGATATTTGTCACTTCCACCACCCACTGCAAAGGGAAGAGTAAGTACAAATAAAATAATAATTTCTGGAGTTTTATATATAAAAACAGCTATAAACACCATGAAATTTGAGTTTAATTAACACAGCTCAAACAAATTAGGCACATCACAGCTGTACCTACCGCTTCAGTATGTATTGGGTGCACTGCAAAGAGCAAGGATGCAACGACGCTGCTCCTGTTGTCCAGGAAGAGCTTACAGACTTTGAGGAAGACAATGCAAACCACCACATGAAAGACCAGATTTAGAAAGTGGTAAGAAACTGCATTTAACTCGCTGAACAAGTAGTTTAAGCGAAATGTTAGAACTGTAAGGGGACGATAAGATTTATGACTCCTCTCCTGAAAGGAAACAAATAAATCAGTCACCACTAACTTACAAAATGACTTTCACTCCAAAATACCTTTCTAAACACCTATCCATACCTCAGTCCCCTTCTACTGTCATACATCTACATTCAAAACAAAGATATGAAAATCAGTAGCCCAACAAAAAAGAAAAAAGCATTTTTCCACTGGACATGGTTAAAGATTTTTTTTTTTCAGTAAAAACATGTTAAAAAGTACTATTTGAAATTCACTGGGGGGGATTAGAAACCTATTCAACCCTCAATGAATACAGAACTAAATGGCATCTATAAGCTTTGGTTAATTATGTATCGGTGTCTATTTGCAGAGCTAACAAGTAGTATGTCACATGGAACTAACCCGTAAGTTATGAACATAAGATTATAAAGTGGAATGCCTTGAAAAGCAGAAAATACATGAATGGGAGTGAGTTTTTATTCATTTGCTCAGCAATAACACCATGTGTGACTTTTGAAATTGTATCAAAATCCTTTAGCTATTGACATTTAACAATGTCTAACAAGAGCTTCAATGCCAATGCTGCTTTTCAGATAATACATAGCTACACTATAGGGGTTACAAATCAGAAACTCTGAATTCATATATATATATATACATATATATACTTAAATACATTTAAAGGATTCAATATTCTAATTCCAAACTTTGTTGTTTAAGTGTTATCTTTCCTTCCAGGTTGCATTTAGAAATAAATGCCCTTGTATATATAATATCTAACTTTTGCAGGAGAAAATCAATTGGTGAGAGTTGTTGTTCAATTTTGATATTGTGATTACATAGGAAATAACATAATGCAGATGTCAGTACAACTTCATTATGAAAATGAAGTTATTTTATTGAGCCAAGGGAACGAATATAAGCTATGTCTTCCTGATACTATTGTACACAACACTAACACCATCAAATTCCACCAAATCCAAGCTATTCTGCTAAAACCACACTATGAAAAAGAAGTGCAAAAACACTCTGCAAGGTTTTTTTCAATTTCCTAAATGTTTCAAAGTGTTTCACAAACCATTTACCTCAGACATTGGAGTGCCCCAAAAGTCATTCTGAAACAGATTTCTTAATGGAGTAGAAGGATGCAAATCTTTATTATCCAAAATCGCTGAAACATCATCAAAAACAAACCCACAAAAGAGACTGTTCCAGTAGCAGGCTGCCACCACACCAACTATTAGTGCCGCTTCCTTCAGGCTTACGTCAGCCATCTTCTCAAGGAGGTTTCATAGACAAAAACTGAAATATACGTAGAGAAACTTGAGTAGTTTTACTTTATTTATCAAGTTAGGAAGTCAAATTAAGACATCAAATACTTTAGAAGTTAATGACACTCCATACCTAACAGTCAGTAAGATCAGAAGGTTTCTTCAAGTCATACATATAACATGGTTTAGTGTTTAAATTAAATACCCCCATTAAAATATTCTGCCCTTAAAAAGCCTTAAAAAAGGTGGATACACTGCTACTTTTCATGTTTTATTTGGGGGAAAAGGAAAAAAAAGCATTGATAATAAATTGTGATGTAGTTTTCAGCAGACAGTTATGCAGTTCAGGAGAGCGCTGCAAACTGATAAACTATGAAAAATAAGGTCTCTGGAATCCTGAGAGATTTAACATACACAAAATTCTAAGTTAGCAAAGAGGCAGATACTGTGTCAATTATTTATGGGGTTTAGTTTTAAAGGTGTTTCTCAAAATATTTCAAAATCAATTAAAACTAAAACAAACTTTAAACATTCTGATGAACGAACAGGAAACTTGTAGAACTTCATACAGGGGGTTCAAGGACAGGTAAAGGACATTAATAATAATAATAAAAAGTTAAACGTACCATTGAAGGTCACACTAGGCTCACTTGCATTCTTTGTAGAAGTTCACAAGATGGTCATTTTTTTTCCTCAACTCTGCCAGTTGCTCTGATGTCACCGATTGTTCATGAGGCTACTATCTGAAAAAAATTGCATGCAAAACCCCCAAAATTAACCTTATTGCGTATTATTTTCTCTCATCTCGCTTAACCTTCTACGCCCTAGAAATTATTAATCAGCAGTTTTATGATGATTTATGATTTACATAATATTATAAGGGTGAACTGATCAAAAGGTGAAATTACTGTGTATTGGGTTGTTCAAAAATACTGTTGTGCCTCAGAAGAATAAGAAGGTAATTACAGGTCAAAGGCATTTCTTTTTACCACTGGTTGACTCTGCATAGACCACTGCCAACTGCTAGGACCGAAGATACTGAAAGGCTACAGACAGCTGAACAATAACTTGATTTTTAAAAAATGGACATGACTGAACAAGAGTATTTTCCCCCAAACTGTAGAGGGGGAACATCTGTAAGGACACAGAGCAGCTAATATTAGCCAGATAATGTGGATCCATAAATACATAATAACTGCAGCCTTATATTTATCACAATTCACACATCAAAGCTGATGAGCTATTTGAAAGCTACAGTCTGCTTTATTGTACTAAACCCTGAAATCCTGGTGATTTTTTTTTTTCCTTTGGTCTACTGGGCTTTTTTAAAATTGTGTTCAGATTTATCATAAAACATGCTGAGCTGGAAGGGACTCACAAGGATCACTGAGTCCAACTTTTGGCCCTGAGCAGGACAACCCCAAGAATCACACGATGTGCCTGAGAGTGCTGTCCACATGCTTCTTGAACTCTTAATACAGGCCACAGAGATCTAGATAGATGATCTTGTTTGTAGTTTGCAGTCTGGACCTGAGAGCTTGCAATCACTCACCACCACCTAGTGGCAAAGGAGCAGTAGGTACAGGAAGGAATACACGTGCAACAAGATACAGGTGCAGCTAAACTGAAAACCAGAACACATATCATTTCAAAGAAATCAAACCAAACCATTTGGTGTTCCTCACATAATGGCAATTAAGGGCTTTTGTAGTACTTGGAGCACTGGCTATTTATGTTACTTCAACAAAGAAAGCCTTTTTTTAAAGCTCCATTGCCTCTGTAATTAACAAAAATAAATAAAAAAACCTACCACAATGCTGAAGGATGTTGCTACACCTTTTTCATAGAATCATACAGTGCTTTGGGCTGGAAGGGACCTTAAAGATCATCTCGTTCCAATCCCCCAGGCTCATGGGCCACAGGCTCAATCCGAGTACTTTAAAACACTAAGATAAGTTTACAACTGAACATATCTATGGTCTTCTTGGCAGCCAGAGAAATCAAACAAAGCATGCTACAGGAATACACTTTTGAACTTGAGCTCAGCACTTTTTAGTTCCCCCTTCAAAGAAGGTGGATATGAAACATATGCTTCTACCCTGCCATAATTTGAAATTCATTTTTTGCAACAGCTTCTTTAGAGTCCACTTCCTACTTCTTGAAGTTACTTAACTATTTCCACTGAGAAGCAGTGATATCTGAAAAGGATCTACAATAAACATGTCAGGATTTTCCAACATACAAGCCTTTATTATTTTAAATACTGTGACATAGTAATATTACAACACAGAACCAACTCTAAGATTTATTTAAATTCAACCTTTAAGAAAAAGCTTTGTTAGATGAGTAGGGTTTTGGTGACTTCTAATTCTTTAACAACACTTATTCAGAAACAGCTACTGCTATCCAACTAACAAAAAACCAAAATTGAGTCCTAAGTATTGCCTCTTATCAGAATGAAAAGTTTAACCAGCCTTAATTATTAACTCTTTCAACTTTTGAAATTTTTTTTGCAAGGTTTTCACTTTTGCACATGTGAAAAAGTAGGTCAAAACATCTACTATACTTATCCCTTAATCCCAAGTGATTCTGATGCCTTCACAAGCCTTTCATTTTACTCTGAATTTCTAGTTTTCCTTCCACTCAGAACTGCACACTCTACACGACTATTGACCATGCTGCTCCCTGACAGAGCTCCACTCACCTACATGCCAGCTGTAGGGAAAATACTGTTGTAATTTGAATGAAAGAGAACTCTTAAGCATAAATAAATTCAGGTATTAGATAAATCCAAAGTTCATGTTTTAGTGGCTAGTCCACCATCAGAGAACTCCAGAAAGGACCCACATTTAACATTGAAAGTTTTTATTGCAATTCATCTTCTCTTTTACATGCATATTTCAATCACAGATACAATTACATGCAAATACATGGCTATACTTTGGTCTTTCAAGACAAGTATTTGAGCCACAGACACTCCAGGCAATCCTGAAGAGTTTTACTAAATTTACTGTAAGCAATGAATATATGCAACAAAATGCACTGTCCTAGTTTTAGCAGTAAATCACCCAACATACTGCTTGAATTGTACCAAACTCGGTAACCTCTAAAGCATCACACCATACCACTCTCAAATTTTATTTGTGTGCTAAAGCACTAGGTCTTAAAAAGCAAGAGGCATAATGGAAATCTGTTAAAGCCCCCATATTCAATCACTCTGCTTCTAGGCTAAGCACAGAGAGAAAAATGGGAAATGTAAGGCCACTAGAACTTGTAGATTGCACAGAATTGCAGTACAGGTAATTTACTATTTCTGACTTGCATTCTGGCATTCTAAGGTCTTATTTTCTTGGAATGTACCATAAAGATACACAGAGTTAGGAAAATTACTTTTTTTCCACCTGCTTTGATTACAGGGTACTTTTAATGCTTTTGCTGATTTAAAGCATAAATATGGAATAAAAAAATTGCAGTCCTTTATGTTAGCATAACAATACAGATTTTGAGCAAGTCTTCCCATCAGAACTACCACTTCCTATCTGCTACTGTAGCTGGGTCTACCCTCACACTCCAAGCTCCAAACCTGCGATGATCACCAACATGTCGAGAATGCAAAATTAAAGCAAAGGTTTATAAAAGATCATCTGTACTTGGTAAGCCAGGCGAAAGTATGCCTGCCATTAAACTCAGTGGAAAACAGTAACTGCGTCTTGGCAACCAAAATTACTTTCACACCAACTAATCTATTATCAGCTTGATGTTAGAAAGTAAGAAGCCATGTAAGGAGTATATAAGACTGAGATCCTTGCAAATCACAGACATGCAAGAGGCTGCTGAAGCCTTGATATGACTGGGCTGCTCACGTGAGTGGAAATAATTCTCCTTCTTACCCAAGTGACATGTTGATCAACCCAAGTATGGTCTTGCAAGTGCCAGAACTTCACATCCAGTGATGGATGTATTTGATAAACACCTGCAAAATGTTGCCTAAAAACTTCTTCTTTAAAACAGACTTGTTGCAAGCGTGAATTGCCCTTGTTCCACATCGCTACCTAGTCCTAAACATGCAAGCAGACTGAATATCCCTCAGGTTATTTTTTCATCTCATCTACCTGCTACTTTGACAGCTTCTAAGACTGCCCCTCAGATACCTTAACCACCCCTTGGGTATGACTGCCAGCTTTTGGCCTAGTGCACAGCCACAGAGCTACCATTTACCTGGATGAAATCAGGACAGACATACTATATTACAAAGACTTCTATTGGATGCTTTAATTTACAACAATATCTGACCATCATGAAGAATATACAGCTGAAAACAATGAACAGCAAGGTAAACCTTGAGAGTCAGAAAATGCACTGTAGTCATCAGAGCCAACTGCAAAAAAAAGAATAGGCTGTGCAAAACAGCCTATCATTGGACTACATTTCTGAGGCTGTTTTGCACAGAAATCTGCACTTTGCACTGCACCATTTTCACATTTGTACAGAGACATTAAATGGAAAGGGACAAAATAGAACCAGAACTCTCAAGTCCATTTGGCTCATAAAGTACATAGTTTTCCTGTTCCAGCTTCTTGAGATCACTATAATACTTCATGCAGTCTTCAAGAATAACAGACAAGAATAAAATGTAAGAGTCTCACAAAACTGAAAAAATGCACTGAGAAAAAACAAAGTAACAACCACCAAAAGAGTCAAAGCACTTTTAGAAGATAAGAAAACACAATTTTTCTCAGCAATTGCTTCTAAATCCATGACACTACAGACAGTTTGGCACACCACATGTTGCAAGATGCAGTAGTCTGCGTAAGAAAACCTCTGTCACAAATAAAAAATGCATAATGATGATCTAAGAGTATCCTCAGCTGGGAAATTTGGGAGCACAAAAGCCATTTTCTGTCCATCAGAATTAAAAAAAAATTGGCGAGTGTGCATCTTGGCAAGAATACAGCTGTAACCCCAAAAGCATGCAAAAGCTATTTAGCATTCCATAATTAGCTATCTGCCACTCTACATTAAAAAAACCTTGCAGGAACAAATATGTTTTTGTCTGTTAGACACATCTGACTAGCAAACTTTTGAAACTTAAACATGCATTTAAATTTGTTTCTTCTACTGAGTAATGGCACTTGCATGGATTGAAAGGCATTAATAACGTGCTAAGCCAATTTACTAAACAATAATGAGGCAATACTGGATATTTATTTACTAGACACAAACTTTATTGATCACTGAAGGTTCTGAACTGCTTAGAACATTACTTACAATTCACACAGAAAACCTTCAAATTATCAAAGACGATAAAGTGAAAAGCTGTTAAAACCACTCCTAGGGTTACTTTTATTTTTAAATAGGCGAGCAACTATTTTTAAACAAGTGAGCAACTAGTTCATCTAACAGCTAGTAGCTGAACATCAGCAGAGATATATATACAAACTGTTGGTACACTCACTTAAAAATATCATTTTAATACAGCTTCTGAGGCTCTGCTAATATCCTAATTTGTATTTCCTACTTGCTAACCTTTGCTCATTTTTATTCTGAGTTAAACTGAACATTCTTTCTGCTGATTTAGTGCAAGTGTTTACTGACAGAGAGAGATCATAATTTTGTTTCTGTTTTGCCTTTCCCACAAAGCCTTAAACTTTATCTATTCATGCCACTCCAAGATACAACTCTAATATGAAACAACTTAGATGCAAGGCTGAGATTTAGATGATTGGGCTTGAATCTCATCTAGAAAACAAGAAGTATTTGGAAATATGAGAGAAGAAATAATACAAAACATGCCTGAATTTCCCTTTTATCTTGCTGAAATCCTAAACCAGGATAAATATAACAAGAAAAGTTTTATTGTGAAAACCTTCTGCACGGTTTTCACTACCAGATCAAGAGGCATGGGACTACTAGGAAATACTCTTCACTATATAGGAAGGTAATGGCCTCCAGCCTTCTCTTCACATAGTTCTGAAGGATTAACCAGAAGAGCACTGGCAGTTCTGATACAAAGTCAGAACACGTGTTGCAAGCCAGATGAAAGATCTCCCACTGGAAAAGAACTTGCTGGCAACCAGGCAGCTTGTGATATCTTAGGTTACTCTGATACAAACAAGGACCGAAATGTAACACAATTTAAAATGGGTGAGACGAAGATACTGATTTAGTTGGTGGTTTAGCTTCAATTTGTTCAATGCAACTGGTACATGCCACTTGAAATACAAACCACACAGGTCTAGCTTGTACTTTAAGACTTAGAAACTTAAATCAGGAACAGAATCTCACATTTCAATGTTAAACAGTAGCAAAATAATACCCATTCTGTTTAGAGCAATTACATAAAACATCTTTTGTGGCCTTACTGATACAAAAAGTGTATCTAAAATAACACTTATCACTCTCAGTGTTCCAGAAATGCAACAGCAGAAACTGCTTGCTTGTTTACACCAAAGAATAAATTAACAAAAGCTACATGTGAGGTATAAGCTGAAAACACAGCCTTTAGACTCTGCTACTCTGTCCTTACTTAGGCTGGGTCTGAATACGATTTCTTGTGTACTTTAAATGACATTCCATTAAGCTTTTCAGAGTGCGGTTTTTCTGTTAGCTCTTTGCAAGGGCACACTGTTATCAAAGCTGTGATTTAACAAGTATGCCTAAGTCTTCTATCAGAGTAGGTCAAACAGCTCACTATGCAGTTGAATTTATTTCTTGGCTCCAGAATTGTAAGTATCTAATCCCACTAAAAGAAGATTCACTTACACAAAGTTCATCATATGAAGTGGCGCAAAACATAAGAAAAACTAATTTACTTGGTCCAAGCCATGCTGTATTTTTAATGTTTTCTCATTTTCTGTGGCATTGATACTTCAATTCCTTTTACTGTTTTTTAACTTTTGGAGTTCCCATGCCAGCTTCAAATCCAAATACCTTTTACTTCTGCACCAATGGTCTTTACTAGCTGCACTACACAATTGCAACCCAGATATGGTTTCACTACCAGTAAATGTATGGTTTCAGTACCAGTAAATGTGTTCTCTGCTGATTCTGCAACAGAACACTCAAAAATGCTGAAGCATATTAAATAAAGTACATTAAATAGCTATACTGGCATCAACAGCTGGTTATGATGATGGTGATGATTTAAAAAATAAACAAACTCCTATACAGAAGCATTCCAGCATCAATGGAATATTTTCTCTACCACAGAAATATTCCTTTCCTGAAGGCTTAGTTTGTGGCTAAGGTGCCACTATTTTCTGTGTCACTTCCTATACCTATAAAAGTCCCTGCTACTAAGAAATCATTGTTTTACACTTAATCATAATTAATTTTATAATTTATTTATTTTTAGTAACATTACCCATTCATTAAATACACCCAGTCTCCTTCCCTTCCCTAACTACAGTTCGCTTTCTGTACCTAATACAGAACTATAATTAACCAACCCCTAGCTGAGATATAGAAGTCTTTGGAGTTGTGCTGTGACTGGAACAACTGCATAACTATAAGGAGCGCAAAGCATCTTGCATCTTGTCAGTCTCTAGTAAATATCAACATGGATCAAGAGATAGCAAAAAAACTGAAAACAATTATTTATCCAAAAAAAGGACAAAAGTACATAGATAACGTAATAATCACCTTTCTATTACCATTAAAAACAAACAAAAAAAACCCCCAAATCCACTTCAGCTTTCCACAGCTGTTGAATAAACAAATGCAAAAAGATAAACATGCCTTGAATGGTTCTTTTTTATTTGAAAAGATGTATTCACACCCATTTAACTAAAACACAGGATCCCAAACTTCCCCGGTTATCAGACCACAACCAAAACTCAGACTTGCCTGCTAATAGTACCCAATGGATTCGAGTAGTTTATAGGTGTGATTTTCCCCGTGCCTTCCGGCCCCCACTGTTCCCTCCGTATCCCCAAAGCACAGGCGCACCCGGGCAGCCGCCGGCCGGGCAGGAACCGACACGCTGCCCGCAGCTCGGGGCGAGGCAGGGAAGGAAAGGGCAGGCTGGGCGGCGGAGCCAGGGCGCGGTCCCGGACGCCGCTCAAGCGCCGTGGCAGCGGTCGGGGCCGCACCGCAGCGCGGCAGGCGCGGGTACTCCCCGACGCGGCACGGCGGGCACGGCCGGCAGACCGAAACTACCGCGGGCAGCAGCTACACCGGACCCCCTCCATCCATCCATGCTCCCTTCCTTCCTCCCTCCCTCCTCCCGCCCCCGGCAAGGCCCGTGGCGGGGCGCGGCCGCAGCGCGCCGAGCCCGCCCTACCTGAGGCCGGGACAACACCGGGACTCGGACCGCAGCGCCGCCGCCTCCGGAGCCGCCACCCACCGCGCGCTCCGCCGCCGCCGCACACGGCGCACGCGCGCCGCCCCGCCTCCGCCCCTAGAGGCTGTCGGGAAAGAGGCGGGTGGTGCGGTCGGCCTGGACGCATGCCGGGAGCTGTAGTCCCACAGAGCCCGCTCGGTGGCGGGGGTGGCGCTCGGGGCCGTTGCCCCGGTGAAGCGGCGCTCTCGGGGGGGATCGCGCCCTGCCCGCCTGGCTGCCCCTCGGGACCGGGAGAGCCCGCTTGGCACCGTGGGGCTTGCCTGTGGGTGCCACGGAAGCGCTGACTTTCCCTGCACCCACGAGTATCCGGGTCTGCGGGAGAGTCCCATGGCGTCGCCTGGCAGCGGCCACCGTCATCCCCCAGGAGCGGTGAGGCCACGGGGCGGGGGGTGCTCCGGGCAAGGAGACCAAAGCTGCCCAGCCCGAGCGGCCCGCGCTCCGCCGGGAGCAGCCGGGCCGGGGGCGGCGGCGGGGCTCCGCTCCTGCGGGCCCCGGGCAGCGCGTCCGGCGGAGCGCGGGGCTGGAGCGTCGCGCCGTGTCTGCTCGCGGCTGCCGCCTCTGCCGCGCCTCGCTGGGAAGGAGAATGCAGAATAAGGCAAACTGTTCGTTCAGTAGAGCTGGAATGAAACGGGGACAAAGCTGTCTCGGCAGCATCCTGGAGGGATCCTGGGCTGTCACTGTATCCTGTGTCTGGGGTATGCCAAACAGGAGAGAATGGGAACCTGCGAAGATCCTCTCTTGATTGGGGTTTTATAATTAAGATCTTGTGCTTCGCAGAGCTACTCCGGGTAAATGCAATTTGAAAGTCGAAAGTAGCTTAAACTGGATTACCCTATGTAAACAAATGCGGAGTTAGCAGATCACATCTCCCGCGTCACTGTGGTGCTTCTTGATGTTAAGTCTCCCTCCTGTGCACATGACTCTGCTGCCCATTATACACACCCTGGTGGGAAAAGGTCAGCTCTTCCCAGTGGTGCTTGATCTCACTGCAATGGTAAGGTATCTCCATGTGAGCTTGGCTCGCGTGGTTTCCTGTAGTCAGACCAGGGCATTGCCGTTCTGGTAGTACTTGAGCATACTCTCCAGACTTCCTTTTCCGTCTGAGTCTGCTGAACTTTATAACATCTGGCTGTTTTATGTGTGCTTAAATTCCCTGGGTAAGTCCAGAAAATTTTGTATTGACTAATATCAAATCCCCATCTATTTCACACATATTGTAGACCCATGAGCTCAGCGTTTCATCATATGGATCATCATCTGTTTACTAAAACCACGGGTTTTAGTTGATGACAACAGATGAGCAAAATGATGAAAAACTTTTCACTTAAATAAATTCTTTCACAGTATGTATATACTGTGGAACATAATCTGTGCATAGGTTGTGCCCCTCTACCTTACTGTAGCTACTCTCCCACCAAGCTGGATTCAGTTGTTTATGTGCAATTCAATTATGTTTTATCCTTCTGGATACAATTTTAGGACTGATATTTTCTTAGGACATTATTTTGTAAGCTAAGGGGAAAAGATATATGAAGAGATGAAAGGTAGGAAAGGATTGACAGTAGTAAGTTTGTGTATTTGCTTTCAGAATAGTTTTGATTGCTGAGCATTTAAAACTCCTAAATTTTACATCTCATTACTTAAGAAAAAATGAATGTGTTTAAGACTTTTGATCCTTAGACAAGTATGTTACTGAAATCAAGTAGTATTCACTTGACTGAATGATTCAAAGTGCCAGTATTCTCCTTGGATTATCCTTTGCCATTACAACAAAACAGAAGAGTAATAATGTATATAAGGTGTTATCCTTGTGAAGTCATGGATTGAGTATAATACATGTTATATGGTTAGCAAATATTGAAGAAATTTAGTAAATATAGGGGACCTTTCAAGTAGTTCACATACTCAGAAAGGATGAAGATTGCTTTTATCCTCCCTTAAGTGTACAGTTGTATTTCTGTGTCTGACAGCTCTTCTTTCAGAATGCTTAGACATACTTGTTTTGGAAAGTAATATCAGTTTCAGCCTTTTATTGACAAAGAAGGTTTCAGTTGTTGAGTCTTTAAACTGCTGAATGAGGAACAGAGTGTGTGCTGGATCAAATCTCAAAATGCTGTGCTCAGCATACAGCATTGCTGAAGTTATTGATTGAGCTTGATTTTTTCCTATAAAATATGTACCCCTGCTGTGTTATTAGTTTTTTTGAATAATACTGCATTTACTATTGTAGATAGCTTTATTTCTTTCTTAATTTTTATTAACCATTTATGCTATATTCATAATTTAGGGCAATAAGTAGATTAAATATGTTCTGTTCTAAACTTGGCAGAATTTGCTTTTTGAAATATTGAACAGAAAGTCTAGAGACAGCTCCAAAGAACAGAATAATCCAAGATTTCCAATCCCTTCTGCCTTTTTCAGATACTGCATTGACTTTCAGGTATGTGAGAAATCACTGTGGCCCACAACATCCAGTAGGTAAGTAGTAGAAAAAACTTTACACCACTTTCTGATGAGATTTTCTCAGTTTCCAGGCTTATTAATGTCCTTTGTCAATTCAAGTATTCTAACCAAAAAGAAATGATGTTTAATACAATGTCAAGAAGTTGGTGCTCACAGTATCAAACTGAAAGTGTTGTGTTTTAAATATTAGAAATAATAATTCTTGTGTTTGTTCACTGGCATAAAAATACCAACATAAGAGATAGGGATGAAAACAAAGATATTGAAGTTAAAATACCGGTTTCATGTGTGTCCTGATCTTCACTAATAGTTTTAAGAATTCATTGAGTACAGATGGTGTAATTCTTAACATAAATAAAAAGTATTTTTATTATAGCCTCCTAGTTTGCAATAGATCAAAATGTGAACAGAATGTTGATCAGTGTTACAGTTATTAGAAGTCATCTGGTGTGTTCAGTGGCCAACCTCTATTAAATCATTTGACCTAAAATTGGTTTGCACTGATAATACCTGATAACTGTTATTTTAATCTTTGTTCCAGGAAAAAAAAAGTCATACCTTCAACATGGCACCTGTTTTAGATTGGAAGAAGGTCATGAAAGTTGATCCAGATACTCTGCCTCATCAAGAGGAGCTAGCAGACAGACTGCTGGATATCATGATCAAGGTTCTTGAGAAGAAGGGAACTTGAGGGTTTTGTTGTACCTTCTTCCCTAAACCATCTCTGGTCCTTCACATACATGAAAGATTTATTTTGTGTATTTCATTGATATTAGTGTAAAACCACTTTTGTCGCTTTTGTTAGGTTGATGGGAAAGACTTAAAAACTGAAACTCCAGAAAAAATGATGCACCTTTTTAAAATTACTCAATCACTACTGAAGGTTTGTATTAAGGCTTACTTTCTTCAATTCTGCAGATGCATTTGGGGTTTTTTTGGTGGTTTTTTTTATTTTTTGTTTGTTTGTTTTTGTGGGTTTTTTGTGTTTTTGTTTGGGGTTTTTTGTTTGGTTGTTTTTTGTTTAAATGGAAGCATATTTTTTTCTCCTGTTCCTGAAAATACTGCTTACTCCTAAGGTAGTTTCTATGCCAAATGTGTGCTTGCACCAGAGTACCTTCTTGTGTAGCTGTTGGAATTTAGTAGTGGGAAGTGGGTTGGAATAACATAGTTATATAGATGGAAAATCCAAATAAATTTCTCAAAATAAATATGTTCTAAATGTAAGGTTTATGGAACAACCTTTTAATTTATGGTAGTAGTAAATATTTCTTCTTTGCTTGCTATGCTTCTTAGATGAAAGCTCAAGAGGTAGAACTGGCACTAGAAGAAGTTGAAAAAGCTGGGGAGGAGCAAGCCAAATGTGGTAAGCAAGCTTTTTTATGCTGTTCCTAAAAGATTTTTTAAAATGTGTTTTTAGGTTTTTATTCTTGCTGTTTTGTGTTTTTTTTTTTTTTTTTAAGGTTAGAGAGCTGAACAAAATATCATCTGCTCGGAAGTCAGTTGCTTTAATATACTATTTTTTGTGTTTTATACCTTATTGGGTAATTCACTATATCTGTTCTCTCTTAACAGAAAATATATTTAAAACCAAGCTGATGAAACTTCAAAGTGAATTAGAGGTATGTTTTAAAATTTTATTAGTGTATAAAGTGCTCTAGTGGGGTTTTTTAATTATTTTATTTTAGACTAGCATTTAGTCTTGTAAAGTCATGAAATAGCCCTACATTTTAGCAAATGCTTTTTATTGTTTTTTGAATATGCACCAGTCTTGGATGAATAATTACTTGAGTTTTTTACCCTTGAGAAATCCCATCTATTTTAGTCTTAGTATCTGCTTTGGTTCTTTAGTTCTTTCTACTTTGAATATCTACTATATTTATAATGTTATTTTAATGCTCATAAGATGGCACAAAAATCTGCTGGTGGTCGTGATACTCGTTTTTTGCGTGATGAGATCCGCCAACTGGAAAAGCAATTGGAACAAAAAGAGATACAGCTAACAGATACAGAAAAAGAGTTGGAAAAGGAGAAGAAAGTGAACGAACAGGTATGAAGGACTTGAGCTTGACATCTCTAGAAGCTATTCTGTCAAATATTTTTAAAAGTTGATGTTCTGGAAAAAGCATCTGAAATTAAAAAAAAAAGAAGAAACCATTAATGAAATAGGATTGCTGTGCATTTGTTTCCTTTTTTTGTTTCTGGAGTTCTTAATGGTGTCAGTGATGCATGTAAAGGTTTTCTGTCTTGTAGCTTGCTCTTCGAATTGAAGATGCTGAAAATGAAAACATCAAATTCAGGAGAGAGGTTAGCAAAAATGATTGCTGATTTACTGTATTTTCAATTTTTAAATAAATATGCTACTATTTTTCTGTATTTATAATTCTTGGGGTGATGTTTAATTTTTGAACATTTTCTGTGTACTAGTGCAAAATAAATATGTGGTACGTCTGCTCCAATGAAATGTAGGAAATTGAGGTTAGGAAGTCTCTACATTTCAATTTGAATAGTCCTACTGTGCATTAGCTTGGCATGATTTTGGGTTTTGAATTTTTAACATTTTTGTTAAATATTATTTCCAA